ATGTGCGTGTGTGTTTGTGTGTGTGTGTGTGTGTGTGTGTTGAGTGTGTGTGTATGTTTACTATCTTTGTTTGTGATGAGCAACCCTTTCAACAATATTTTTTCAAGAAAAAAACTAGATCTAAAGAAGACAACTAAATCAAAGGCAGCAAGGGAAACAAAAAACTTACAGAATACATAACTGTCCAAGGGAGATAAATGTAAGGCAGACGTGCTTTCCGTAATTTCGTGAATTATCTCCCTTTGATCGATTCCCTCCAATGTGTACAGTAGAACTCGGATTCAACGAGGTCGCCGGGCCTGGCCTAAAACCTCGTTGAATCCGAGTGTTCGTTATAGCAAACATGAGGTTTTGTGTAGATAATTACAGATAATTACAGACACTGAGCAAGTAATGTATAAAGAGAAGTCACAAATAGTGCCTGAAATGCCTGCATATTATGAGCTGTGCAAAAAAAGGACCGATTCGTTCAAATGCACACGCCTGTGTCATCTCGATTGTTTACCAAAAAGTTGTGTTGCTGTGTAGAGCCTAGCATACGGTAACTTTTGATTCCATAGACTAGCGCACAATACATTACGTATATCTACGTCAAGACTAGGCTAGCTTATCATTGTAATAATGATCAGTTGCCTACAGAAAAAAAGACTGTGACGTGTTTGTATCTGCGACGTTCATCGCCCGGACCGCTAGCGCCCCTCCCCGACACGCACACACAGCCACACGTATGCAGGCCCCCATCCAACCCCGACACACACCAGAGTAGACACGTGCGCGTGCCAACAACGCATGTGTTGGTATGAAAAAAGGCCGCTGGTTGGTCGCATGCAATCGGCTACGTGTATAATGGTTCTCGATTCAGGTGCAATGGATGGTTTCCGGGTATAGATAAAGTTCGTTGTGGGAGAAAGAAGAGCGAAGCCGCGTCTGCGGGGGCTGTTCACTCTAGAAGCGACCTCGTTGAATCCGAGCTCGCTGATTTAAGTGCTCGTTGAATCTGGGTTATAAAAAAAAAAAAATGATTTTAAAGAAGAATAACAACGGGGAATCTATCTCATCTCGTTGAATCCGAGTTCTCGTTGAAACCGAGTTCCACTGTATTCCCTAAATCTTTTTCATGAGCCACCCTTTCAGTTTTTTGTTAGAAGCAAAAGATAACAACCCCCCCCCTAAAGAAAACAAAAACAACAACAACGAAAAACTGTAAAAAAAAACCCAACAACAAACAAACAAACATTAAAAGCAATAACAGCAAAACAACAAGAGCACCAACAAAAAACAAACCCAAACGAAATTACAGGCGGCAAGAGAAACAATTAGCAAACTGAATGTAAACTTTACAAAGGGCTTTAATGGTTGCGGGATGAGGAAGACAGGAATACAGGAGAACACCACGCAATCATCAGGATGCGGGAAATGGGGATAAAGAGGGGAGAAGATAGAAATGAACTATTATCTGGAAAGGAAAGACGTCGCCATAATCAGAGAGCCAAAGGGACAATCAGTATGGATACCGTGCGGGTTTTAGTACTGAGAGGAACTGAGCACTTATGGACCTATCCGGTGTGCAATGGTGTTGTTGTCCAGGACAAGTAATACAGGTAATACAAAGAACATTACGCTTTAGGCAGATGTGCATTCCGTAATTTCGAGTGTTATCTCCCTTTGACCATTTCCCTGCCGTTTGGCTCCGCCTTAAATTAATTGTCTTTCCAGCACCCTCCTCTGTCTGTTCTATCTTTGGGGACTGTTAATTTTATCCGTCTGTTTGTCTATTTATCATTTTGTGTGGGTGGTTGGCGGGTGCTCTGGTGTGGTTTGCTTCTTCTTTCTTATCAAACGTCTATCGTCCTTATCTCCCCTTCTTTTTATGTTCGTTACTCTCTTGTAACACCTCTAATCTTCAGGCGCTCATATGACTTATGCAGTCGCGAGCGCCGTAGAACCTCTACTAAAACTAAACTATCTTTTTGTCCGTTAATACACTCTCATTTGAATAGACTAAACCTCCCTTGAGAGTCCTCATTGACCATCATCGCTAGTTAATTGTAGCGACTGTCACACTCGCGGCATGCCTTGGTTTCCCCTCAGGGCAGTGCTACTGACTGAAGTGTATTAAGGCCATCCCCAAAGGGGAGATATAAACATGTTTTTATGCATAGTAGAATTGTAAATGAGCTGATTTATCAATGTTCCTATCCATACTGTGCTGAAACAACGCAGGGGGAACTGCTACTTTTTCTTTCCTCATCCTTACTATCGCCATTTTCCCTCTACTTCTTTTGTATGTCAGTCACTCTCTCGTTAACTGCTATTTCCGGGGTGCCTGATAGTCGAAGCAGACTTCGTGCGGTTGAGGCTAGAGAGGTGAGCAGAGTAAGCCTGATTCCCCGTTTAGACTTCTCATTTGACATCCACCCCTAGGCGCTCATATGACGGTATGCAATTGCGAGCGCTGTAAAACCTTACTAAAAGTAAAACGAACATGCCTTGGTTGGAATTTTCTCGTATCAAACTAATTAAAAAAATTTTGTTCAACTAATATTGTCAGCGTGACTTTCGATCTGGTAAGATTTTCCGGTTTCTGATGATATTTTAAGATTCGCTATCAGGCTTCTCTGACGAAAGTTAAGTCTAGACCGGGAGCCACGAGCAAGATCGGGTCATGTGGAGTTTGTCAGTGGATGCTTCAGTGCCAATTGTCTTTATTGCTTACTAGTTGGGTTCCCTTTCGATGAAAGGAATAATCGGTGCATCAACTGAAAGTCATTGGCCTACTACATTTACGACGCTCTACTGGAATGGAGCAATAAATATTGAGAGAAAAGTGACACACGCGTTTCCAAGTTGCCAAATACAGATCTATAGTGAGGTGCAAAAGAAACTCGATTTTTTTACGTTGTTGTAACCGCCCCATGCTGAGTTAATAGTTGTGTGATATGAACTCATATCACCCAAAACTTGCCTCAAGCGTCTTGATTGGGCATTTTTGAGCGTCGCAAAGATGTCATTGGCTACGTAAGCAATACACAACTCACGAGTCATCACTCACCACTGGGACACACTTGCAACTTGTTGTGAGTGGTGAGTTTATGCTCACTCAGTCCTGGGCGTATGCCTGTAAAATCCAAGCCTCGAAAAGCTGCATTCCTATCGGAACAGACGAGCTACAGACATGCCAATGCTATCAAGGGAAAACAGTGAAAGGGCAGTCGGACGACTGGCGACCGGTGAGTTGGTGGAACAGGTGTCCCAGGTTTTTAGTGTTCACCCAAGCACCATTTATCACCTTCGGAACCGATTACAAGCGACAGCGACCACAACAGATCGACCAAGAAGCGGAAGACCAAGGGTGACAACTCCGGCCCATGATCGTGTCATCGTTCGTCGGCACCGCCGCGATCCGTTTCTGCCGGCTGCAGAGACTGCCAGGACAACCATGGGAACGACTGGACGCCAACTTAGCCGCTGGACTGTGTCACGGAGGTTAGTGACTGCTGGTCTTCACTGCAGGCGTCCTTACCAGGGAGCTGTCCTAACACCAAGGCCTCGACAGCAACGGCTACAATGGGTGCAGGCGCATGTCAACTGGCGGAACGCACAGTGGAGGAGAGTCCTCTTCAGTGATGAAAGCAGGTTCGTGTGGATCCAGCGAATGGCTGTGTCCGTGTGTGGCGTAGAGGCACGACTCGCTACGACGACAAGAACATTATGGAGCGTGACCCCTGGGGAGGCGAGAATGTGATGATATGGGGAGCCATGGCGTTGAATCATAGAGTGGGAACTGTCATGTTCCAAAACATTGGTCCAGGACGTGAAAACAGCGTCACGGCTCAGCGCTACATTGCACAAGTCTTGGCACCTCATGTGGTGCCCTTTCTACAGAGGCATTCTAACTTCCTGTATCAACAAGACAACGCACGGCCACATACCGCACGTGCTACCCAGAACTTCTTGGTGCAGAACAATGTCAATTTATTGGCACACCCACCTCGATAACCTGACTTGAACCCTATTGAACATTTGTGGGACGTGATCCAAAGACAGCTTAACCAGATGCAGCCACGGCCTCGAACAACAGCCCAGTTGACTGCAGCCATCATCCAGATCTTCGATGGCATCCAAAATGGCCAGATTAACCGTTTGATTAACTCTATGAACAGAAGATGCCTCGTTGTAATCGCAGCACGTGGAGGCCATACGCGTTATTAAGTTTGCTCACCAAGGTCAAGGTCAACGTGAGCTCAGATGAATATGTTGAACCCTCAGTTCATGTCAGCTATATCACTCAAGAAGTGTGCAAAGCTTCAGTTAATAAACACAACAAATACTTGAAACCTGTGTGTTGCATCTTGTCAATCATTGTGGTGTAATAAAAATTCGCATTTTTATTTTGCACCTCAGTATATTATAAAATAGACGTATAGACTGATCCTCTATTCCGCTTTCGTGGTTGTACACTCCAGAATTTCAAAGGTGGGGAAGCAGTGCGTACAGATAGTGAACGGAAACCTGACTTGTTTACAATGGCGTCTTAGAAGACGGACTTTCCCTAGATTCTGTGCGGACGAAACAAAGCATTTTGGAAAAATCGGGGACGGCAGTTTGCGTGGATTTTTTAAAGTTATGTCCTAGCCACATGGATGTTGTGGGCACCTGCAAAGTTTCAAAGGTGTGGGTTACGTAATAAGGGAGGAGTTTGCGCACAAAGCCTCCCAAGTCCACTTTTATATAATACTAGCTGGGCCCCCTTTCGATGAAAGGAATGATCGGTGCTTTAATATCAACTAAAAGTCATTGGCCTACTATATTTACACTCTACTGGAAAGGGGTAATGAATCTTGACATGAGAGATGCAAAAAATTATAAGGTTTGGATCTACACTCTCAAAACAAAATGGGCCTCGCGAAATATTGCTTGCCCGTTTTCTAAAATTACCGAGACAGAAGCGTCGGCCTACAAAAGCGATCGGCGAAATAAAGAAATTTAGCTTTTTTCAGCAAAACTGTCTCAAAACTGAAAAAACGAAGGGCGCCATGATCTGGAGAATATTTTAAAGAATCTTTTGGTGAAAACCGCATGTCGATCGATGCAGCCATTAAAAAGCCTTTTGAATAGCAAAATTCGGCCACCACAAATAGATAATAGATATAGATTCCGCTTTATCAGATTTTACCCGAACGCTAAAGCAGAGATAATTTTGACCTCTGAAGACCCAGAAACGTAGCGCAGAGGTCATCTGGAACCAAGTGGTGTTTTTGTACTAAAAAACTTACCGCTCACAACACAACCATTTCCTTCAATGATGGCTATGGCTTCAAATGCCGACTGTGGCATATTACGGTCGCCGTGCTAAGATGTTCTTGAATCGCACAAATACAAACATGGGAATTTCGATAGCTTTCTATTAGGATCTCCAAATCAACACCGTCCATTATCGTATTCTGCACGCAAACAAACGATCTAACGCTTTCCCCTCGATGTCACGTGATTGGTGGGCTACAACTACAAGCCATGTGATTGACTATTCTAAACAGACGGATACGGTTAATTTGATTTAAAACAGACACGTTTGACTTTGCAGGATTCGGTCGAATTGTACCAAAATGGTAGCTTTTATCCCTCTATGAAGGAAAATCTGACTGTATCAAATGAATCGAATGTAACCACTAGGCAATGTGCACTGAGTATTATTATACCGAGGGATATTACTAATCGAATTCATTTGATTGAGTCAGGGCTAGGAAAACTTTTCTCCTCGAGGAGGCCAAAGCTAACATTATATGGCACTCTTCGCTCTAGTTCGACAAAATAATTTGATTGTGACCTTTAAAATCAAACACGTTTGTTTTTTCACGGTCGTGACTCGAATCGGTTGTTTAATTTTAAAAATATGGTAGCCTTTCGATGGTTGAATCTGCCAGTTTTGCCCCGATTTCTATAATCCACCCCCCCCCTCTCTGGCCGTTGTCGAACTTGAATCTAGGTACATCATGTATTACTGATCTTGTCCATGATGGTGATCTATGCATTCATCCTATCATCAAAGGGGGTGATTAAGAGAAGCGGGGACTAATGTCTGATTAGAAAGGGGAGTTGAAACATTGATGAGAGTTTAGATCTGGATCGAGTTGTCAAGTCAAATACCAAGAACAAAGAAAATGAAGATAGTACTAGAACTGATCAGAGGACCATCTTTCACCAACCAGAAAATAAGGATATGCTTAAAAACACTGACAACTATTTTAATTACAATTTTGATATTCAATAATCTATCTTTCGGAGTTGATTCGACATGTTTCAGTTATGCCTAGGTGTTGTCAAAGACATTAACAATAATAATATTAATTTCATACGGAGCAATGTTCCCTTCTGTTAGGGCGGGGGTCATGAAACTACGGCCCGCAAGCCAGATCTGGCCTGTGAGGTCTGTTTTGTTTTGTTTTTGTAAAGTGTTTTACGGCGCTCGCAACTGCATAGGTCATATGAGCGCGCGGGACACACCTATTTTCAGTTGGTAGG